CCACATCCTCCTATGATCTGTGAACCCTGAACTTCGACCCCCTGTATTGTAGGCATTAAAATCCCAGTTTGCTCTTTAGAAGAGCCTTCAATTCCAGCCGACCGTGTTTCACACTGGGAGACCTTCTCTGTATTGTTCATCTGCATGCACAATCACGCACATTTGCAGATTTTCACATGCACAGGCCTACATGCATACAGCAACATAAAGCCCATTCAGCAGTCCCCTCTTCACACCTTGCCTGACCTTTGTGCTCCTCTGGTATTGTTTATAGAAGCACGTCCACTTAAGAGCTGACCTGTCTGGCCTCTTTTGCTGCAGTGCCGATTATCCACATCTTGAGTCCACGCTGTTCCTTCTTTTCTTTAACCACCAATCCACCCCACACCCCATCCCATTGCACTCTCACTCCTCGTGGTATCTCCACTCCTCCTCCTCCCTCTTTCCTCACCATGACATATTGCTTTCTTTTCTCTGTGTGGCGAGCACGCCGTGCACCCTAAATCCCCACTTCAGCCTCTCTACTTGCTTTTTAAAATTAAGCTGTGCATGTCAGATAAAAACAATGAAATCAATCAACTCCTCTGCTCTTCCTTTTATCTTTATTTTTTTCTACTTTATCCCTCCCGTTACCCTGGCTTGTCGAATTGCTGTCTCTCTGATCCTTTCTTCTCTTTCATGTGTTGCTTTTCTTTATCTGGCTTCCTATTGAGGTAATAAGATGGGTGTATAGCTGGGAAGTGGAAAGGAGAAGAACTTTCATGTCCCTCCACCCTGGGATTAGGGTGAGCTCCTTGGGAAAAGCAATAAAGCTCCCTGAACCTATCGTCTGTTGGCGGGTACAAGAGTAAAGCCCCACTCCATCTCCATGTGCAAGGCTGGAAAGCTCTTATTTCCTTTACACTACCACCATTGCCTGCAGCTCTCAGAATACCTGCATTGGCATTAGCTTTGCATGCTAACGCCACACACTCAAGAGATGGTTAGGGATTGCTGATCTTTATTTGAAAGTCAGCTAACATGGGTTTAAAATAGAGGAGGCATGCAGCAAAAGTCAACAAGTAGGGACTGAAATGTTTGACAGCTACATCAAGGACTAAGGCCTCCAAACATACAGTAAGTCATGATTTAGTAGTTAAATTTTTTTTTTAAGCCTAAAGATTAGTTTTCCGTAAAAGTTTAAAAACAATCCACTGGACTTGGCTTCCAAGGTTTGAAGACGTTTCGCTTCCCCTTCAGGAAGCTTTCTCAATTCAAACGTCTGGATCCGCGGTGAGTTTGAGGCTTTATATAGACAAGGCCTTGTATTGCTTGGAAACATGCAAAAAAAAAGATGATCCTAATCTAATTACTAATCCTAAATATTAGTATGAATCCAGATCTAGCTGAAACATTACTGCAATGGATTTCAGTTTTTGTAGAGAGCCTTTGTGAAGGCTTTAAATTAAAATAAATAGATAAATTGAACTTTATTGATCTCACAATGGAGAAATTTACTCTGTATTTAACCCATCCCCTTTGGGGAGCAGTGGGCCGCAACTGTGCAGCGCCCAGGGAGCAATCGGGGGTTAAGGGTCTTGCTCAGAAACCCAGAGTGCAGTCTGTTGGAGTGGGTTTCAAACTCAACTGGTTAGGGCATAGGGATACCAAGCCCTATGCCCTAACCACTAGGCCGCCCCTGCACCTTTATCAGTAATTACCAGTTTTTAGACACAAATTTAAATCCTCACAGGTTATAGTAGGCTAATAGCTATTCAAACATATCCTATTTAACAGATTTTATTTTTGAAAGGTAAACTATATTTAAGCAACAACTTTACAGCTATGTTGGATGAGTTTGCAAGAAAACTTGCTAAAAACCCAAAGACCTGGAAATACATTGAAAAGTTATCTTTTAATATCATGTAAAAGCCTATAAACCATTTGGCCTACCTTATGGCATTAATAATCAATTGAACAGTTTTATATTATTGGAAATATACACCTATAAAATATGATTATTGGCATATTTGTCTTACGGAAACATGGGATTTACCACAATGGCATTGTTAGATGGCCTTCAACCAAAGATATCTAACCACATATTTAAGCACCGTCCCTGATTTAGTGATAATATTGATTTAAACAGTGTTCAAACACCTACATTATAAAACTTGGCAGCACTCTGCTCATGCTATTGTCATTTACTGGCTACTGTATGATTTTTCAACCAAACTTTTTTTTATCCCATGGTGACACTCCTACTTTCAAAGAACACTGTAATTTTCTGCTGTTGATGTCACCATTAAAGCACCTGATAGATGATGTTGCTGTCTGTTCTGACAGGATCCAAGGTCAGGCCAGCACTGTAATGTTTTCAGAACACCTCAGTGAACTCATCACTTGTCTAGATTGTACATGAGTGCACAAAGAGCAAGTTCCCTCCACAGGGCGGAGTGATTTGTTCTCCTGTCAACGCAGGGAGTGAAGCCCGACTAAACAAGGAGGGCATTCATGAAGTCGTCGATTTGCTTTGCTCACTCATTCACTCTTTCAAGATGGACTTTGCTCTTTGAGGCATAACATGTACACTTGTGGGGCTGACCGGACAGGCATCTTCCTTATCAGTGTTGGGTTGGAGATATGTGTGAAAAAACAGCCTCTTGTTACAGACACACAATCTGCAATTATCTGCGCCACATAGTTTACCTTTCATCTTTATGAAAGTGTTAGCTACAAACTGCAACCACCGAATATGGTATGTTGCAGTGAAAACAAATCTGAAATGCTGTTTGTTCTGTAAAGTTTTACTTATTAACTTCCCAATAACAGCAATGGCATGGCAAAATCCAAAGTTTTAAACATCACAGAAAATGTTTCATCAAAAGTGTTCACAGAAAAATTTTAGAACCAGCCCAAAATATAGTCCTTAAAAAGCATATATAGATTTTTCTCTTACCACAATCGAGAATGTCAGATAGAGAGGTTTCTCTCACTGTTAACTATTAATTTCAAATTAACAGCAAGTAAAGCTCACTCATTTGGATTAACTTAATTTTCAATCTGTCTGCAAGCAGGGCGATTTGCTTATTCATTATGACATAAAACACCTTTAAATGAACACCTAGTGTAGAGATCTAGTCTGCATATATTGGAGGGAGGGTTGGCCTAGTGGTTATGGCATTGCGCCTGGCATGGCATTGCGAATTCCAGAGGTCCTGAGTTCAAGCCCCACTCCCACAGACTGCCACCCTGCGTCCCTGAGCAAGACCCTTAATCCCACACTGCTCCCCAAGGGGATGGGTTAAATGCAGAGGTAAATCTCTCCAGTATAAGATTAATAAAAGTTCAATTATTATATATTAATGAACAATGTTCTGGTATAACATGCTTTTCTTTACTTCTGAGAAGAAGGTCAACCTTTTAGGACTTATTGGGATGTAGGTCAGACGTTTTGCCACAGATTGCATCATCCTAGGCTGCAAGTTGTTTCTTCCACCTTCATCAGTAAAAAACCGTTTCACAAACATTGCATTCAGAGCGAATAATTTTAAAAACAGTTTCTTTCCCAAAGGTGTAAAATCAATCCCCTATCCTGGAGAGACTTAACACTAATTTCAAGACCGATATCCGTTCATTGGCTGCTCTAGCCTTACTTTATTGGACTGGACTATATTTATTTAATGCTACATCCCCATTTTCATTATTACATCCTTATCTTAAGCAATATTGTTTCAGCTGCTGTAAGTCCTCTTTTCAATATAATTTCTATGTCTGTATTTAATCTCTTGCTTAAGGACATACAGATGCTCTATGGTGAAGTGGTTAAAGGCTTTGACTGTACGGGGGGAGCCTCATTTGAATACAGGTTGTCAGGAAGAACATGTGACGTAACAACTTTGCCAAGACTTTAAGAAAGTAGTAGTGACTTTCTGGGGCAGCAGCTGAATATGGGGGCAGCCGAAAGCACTCAAAGATTTTTACAGACTTCCTATGTTGTCTGTTTTGTGTTTATGTGCATTTTGTGCCAAGTGTCTGGATGAAAACAATATTATGGACCAATATGACAATAAATATTCCTGATATAAAATATCATGCTGGATTTGGGACAAAAGCCTGGAAACTAATACTGCAATACTAATACTTTTTTAAGACTTTGCAAGTTTTTGCCTATTATCCTCTAAACATATGTAAAGCTCACTCAGATATTAAGGAGAGATTCTTAGTTATCTAGTTTTGGCAGATGTACCTAGATTTAGCTCTAAACTTTTATTTTACCATTATTGTACCATTGTGTTTGCAACGATATTTAAGATCGTTATTATACTTTTTGGAAGTAACATCTGCTTCATTCTTAAGGCTATTGCAGTCTTTAAATGTTTCTTAATCCAAAGTTATCTTTATTTTAATCCAGGAAGATAACTACAGGTGAATATAGATAAGTCTTTCACTTTTTGACTGGATCAGTAGTAGTTCTGCATTTAAAGAATGCAAAATCTAATAGGTACAAAAATAGATCTTGTATATGAGCTTATATCACAGAAAAATTACGGGATACAGTAATAGGTATGGGAGTAAACTTAAACTACAATTGCTTTGGGAAGGTATTTGGCCTAGCACAGGATTAGGCATGCTCTATTTGTTCCTTTCAATTCTGTGCACAAAAGAAAATTGCGGAATGTAGAACCATAGTTTTCCAATGGATAGAGGATACAGAGTTCCTGTAACTCTTACTTAATTTTTAATACATTTTAGAGGTATCTGAACCATGATGTCTCTAATATTCTGATAGATGCGATTGTCATCGACATATTGAGATATTTGCTTGTATTGTTCTGTAAAGGAATGACTGGAGCATTAGGTACCATAAATTACTATTTAGTAGCAATGCTGTAAACCTATTTTAACCCCACTGTATCATCTGTATCATGTCATATGCCTATAAAAATGTTCCCATTACCTCCCAACTGTTTAAACGGAAGCTTTAAACCACAAATGTATGAAAGAAAACATCATTCCTGTTTGGATATAAGTATGCATTATATATTTCATAACAAAAATAAAACATCTTCCTTTACTGACTCTCGCATCTCCTCTTTGCACACATACATCCAAACCATATGCAAAACTTGACATCAATCAGATATACTGCAATATAACAAGAAACATGGTTGACAATGAAAAAAACAACTGCTTAAAACAAAATGACACTGAGATTGTGATACTGGTGAGAGCAAAGGACTGGACCAAACATACCACTCGCATGTCTGCAGAAATTATTAAAAACATACAAAGACTGAAAGTGATAAAAGCAAATGTCCACACGCATAAATAGATTGCAAATCAGCAATGCATCCTGTTTTTTTAAGATTATATGTACATGGCAGGTAAGGCAATTTAAAAATTTAGGCTGTTTACTCAATAAGAACAAATTGTCCATCAGTCACAATGTTGCCTCTGTAAAACCCTCCCCAGCTTTTTCTTTACATTATTATTCCTATTTTTCTTTTGCTGTCTTCCTTTGAATGCAACAGTTTTTTTATACAAAATGGATCACTTTTTTGAGTCTTAGCACTGGACACCCAAAACATTTTGACCCAACAGTCTATTTGCCGTTTTGCTTGTCTTCTGAAGTCTCCATCCCAAAGTCCTTCCATCCCGTCTGAGTCCAAGCTTCATGGCATCTTCTCTTTTCTTTGTAATTGGCAGCACAGTTCAGTTGCCCTCATCAACACTGATTTTTTAAAGCACCTTTGGCATTCTGTGATTCTTTTCAGTCTTTTTCATTCTCATGACTTAACGAGAAAGTATATTTTCCTTAAACAAAGTTTGCATGGTGGGTAGGGAGATGGACACAGAAAAAATAAGGTGTCTTCTGGTTTAGGTCCATCCAAGTCTGCTGTCCCTTAATCGAAGGAGGCCTCACCTCACATCTACTGGAGAACAGAGAAATAAAGGTAAAATTACTAATCATAAAAGCACACATGCATTTTTTCATAAATAACACATAGAATCTTAATATTCCAATTTTAGCACTTAAAACCATGCATTTCTTACAAATACAACACACACAAAAAACCTATAGTTATCTCAATTAAGATATTCCACCATGATATTAATGGCCTTAATCAGCTGAAGCAAAATCGTGTTCAGTTTCATTTGTGTCTGTCCAAAGTCCAGTGTGAGGCAAAGGAAAAGTGATGATATCATATCCCAAAAAGCTTTTATACCCCTTTGGAATGTTTTTATAATTTATTTTGTTACAAAGCACACTTCTAAATGATTCTTAGTATAAATGTCTCTATGATAGTCCCAATAGTTAAAAACAACACTAGTGAATAAACTGCATCAAGTAGACATTGAGACCCATTAAGCAGGTCAGGTATAGTCTAAATCTGATACGTAGAAGTTTGGTTTAAGAAATAAAACAATATTACTGTACAGTTTTTCAAATTTTCTGTTTGAAAAGGTTATATAAGAGTGCAAATCTACATTCTTAAAATTCCTGCCCATTTTTCTCAGAAGCATCCCCAGAGCATGATGGAGCCACAACCATGTTTTGCTCTAGGTTCAGATTAATGTGCAGGGGCAGTTTTTTTTAAATGTATTTTTTTGGTCTATCAGGCAGATTACCAATGCATCACAATGAGGCTTGTAGTTGTGAGAATGACAAGTTAAACCTTTAAGGGGTATGAAAGCTTTCACAAAGCATTGTAAAAGCAAGACAAATGAACTTAGAAGTTTGTCAAAACAAGTATGGTGCACACAACATTTTGCAAGCACAGTGCTGTGAGGCAAAGCACAAAGTGAGCATGCTCATAAAGCCACAAATTCAACATGCAAAATTAGGATTTGGGGTGTAAAACTTGTCAGCCCTCCTTCTTTTCAAACTTTGATTGGTGTGCCGGTGATTAGCCTGCCCCATGTTTTGCCTTGTTTGGGCCAGAGTAACACCGAAAGGTGATTCCAGTGCTTAAGTCCTACCTGTGTCCTGTCACAGCCTTCCAGTGGACTTTGGGCAATAAGAGCAACTTTATTATGAGACCAATAAGTCCTTGCTGTGCCTTAGATTTTTAGGTTTCCTTTTTTTACCTTTAACCCTACGATGGCCTGAAAACACAAAAGTTGGGGAGGGTGAAAAGGAAGGAGGGTTTAAAGCAAGAGGCAGGCTTTATGGTAACCGAAGATACCGCAAATTCCCTGGGACAGAAGCAGAGAGTGCAAAGCCATAACTCAGTTTAAATTCTTCAGGTGCCTTATCAGTGCACATTACAGCACTTATCTGAACATAGATATGGAAACCCTTCAGATCAAGGCACGTTACCTGCCGTCAAGCCAAGCAGCCTTGAACACAGATCCTTGACACACAGATTTGCACACAAATTCTTACACAGCAAGTGCTTAAAGCTTCCCCTTGCAGGTGTGCAGCTTGCTTGGAAACATTTGGTGGTAAAGGTACATTTAGTGCAAAGCAGACAGACATTAGGCAGGTGTGCACATAGACTAAAGGCGCAAATGCAGGATTTTGGCCAGCAAACTTTAGTGTCTAATTGGGTAAAATATTTGTGTGGAAAATGGATGCTAAAACATCGTGTAGGGATGGCTTAAAGGAAATATGAGCTCAAATTTACCTGTCTCTGCATCTAAGTGTTCTACCACATGATGTTGTGATGTGCAAACACACTCCAGGTGGTCCTCTAACCGCACAAAGACCTCCTTCAGCTTGGGTCTCCTTCTCACGTACTCCACCTTGGCTACCTAAAGAGAGGAAGAGGAGAAAGGTTAGCTATAGGCTCCTGCACATTTACTCTTTCCTGTGTGCGTTAATGAATGCACGTTCTATTTGCCCACCAGAGAACATCAAGAGACATAGCTCCATGACTGATGGCATATGCATAAACTAATTCATAAAAAACTCAGCCAAGGCTTGCTTGTTGTTTGAAGTGTGACGGGACCATTCCTTACATGCTGATTCATTAGGTTTCACTTGTTGTGTGCTCTATGGTCTGTAAGCATCTGAATGAAGTGTATGACCCTCCTATGAGTTGAAAGAGGAGAGATGAAGGGTGGGATAGAGTATTCTGCACCCTTAGGCCCTGGGAAGGTTTATTCTGGCAAAAGAAAAGAAGCTGGGAGATCCCCTAAGCTCAGGCCCAAAGCATCTACATCCAAACATACACCTAAACTCATTCACCTTGCCTCAACATGTTGATTCTAAACCATGTTTCCACATAGATTATGGAAAGCTCTGCTTTGCTTGCATATAAGAAATATTCAGCACCTTGCAAAATATTCACACTGCTTGCACGATTATACATTTTGTCACATTGCAACCTCAAAGACCAGTCTTGAATTGAAAGAAAGCCAGAAGAAGTGACACAGATATTAACATAAAAAAAGAAGGTACTCTTTTAAGTGAGATCAAAATTGTATTCTTTGGTTTGCACATAAAATATTAAACCTGCCATCTTCTCCATGGTGAGACACGGTGGTGGCTGCATCATGTAATCAGAAAGCATTACTTTATCCCCTGCCAGCGGTTTAATTTAGAAGCTACATTTGAGATTGCTAATATTCCTTTAAGCCAAACACATCAACAGAGTTAAATGGATACCCAATCATTTGCACTATGAAGCATCTCTTACAGTGTAATTAATCATCGACTGTACAGAATTTTTATTTTCTCGTGAACTACCAATTGACAAGAACTGTTAGATCAGGACTTGTGTGTTAGAGGGTGAAAATGATTTGAGACAACGCGAGACGTTTATGAATTAGCAGGAAAACAACCCCAGGAATACATCCTAAACTACTACGGAATACCTTAAATCAAAGTATATTAATGTGTTAGAGTGACCCAGTCAAAGCCCAGACCTAAATCTCCTTATATGTAATGCAAGACATGGAAACTTTGATTTGCTGTTGTTCTCTTTACTTAGCTCAACATTAGCTGCTTTGCCAACAAAAATGTGCAAAATGGTAAAGAAACAATTCAAAAAGATTTGTAGCTGTATTAAAACAAAAGGTGGTTATTCACCATATTAACCTGATGAAATGAACCTGAATGTTCACCGCAAATTACAAGTTATTATTAATTCCCCTGTACTTCACAATAATAAACCACCTGTTGGCCTGTCATATAAAATCCAAATAAAATGCATGAATGTTTGTGGGAAAAGCAAAACAAGAATTCTTGTCATTCCAAGCAACACCCTCACAGCTTCCCCTTAATCAGCTTTTTACAACCATCAGTCCAAGGGATATGAATGCCCTGAGCTCTCATCAACAATACACTACTGATTAAAGCACAGATGAAAGTTAAATAGAAAAGGTTGCATGGAGGTTATATTGTTGTGCAACTCAGGAAAGGTGGGCACATGCTTTTGCCCCTCTGATCTAAATGCCAAGAAAGGTAACATCTCAAATCCTCCCTGAAGGCCCTAGAGTCACACTGAAACAATTTCCTCAGCTTCACCTATTCCAATTGTAGCACAAGAAAGGATATTAGCTGAAAATCTTGGTGCACACTCTGGTATGAGCAACACAGTGCCATAGTTGGCATGAAGCTTCTGCATGCATATAACCAATGATAGTTTGTTTTCCTCTATTCTGTAATGGCGCACCGCCAAGCCTGGCTCTTGGTGGTGAGTCAGTCATGCAGACAAATCAACATACCAATCCCTGTCTGATAAAACAAACAATAATGTTGAAATTAAAGAAGAGAGAGAGAGAGAGGGCTGCGTTTTGTTGTTGATGTAAAAGTGGCTGCAGGGCGGGGGGGCACGGTGCGACTGGAACTGAGGCAGTAAAGACGCAAAGGGCAAGCAGTTTTTAGCAGCCACTCCTTTGCAACATTTCTAACAGTGTGAAAAAAAGTAGAAAAGAAAGGGAGTGAAAAGAGGATAAGCAGGAGAGAGAGGTATGCGGAGGGCAAACAGAGGACAATAGTGTCTGGGTTATTGGTGGTGTGTTTGCTGTTACCCAGCCATGAAAGAGAAGAGGAGCGGGTGAAAGGCCAGAATAAGGAAGAAACTAGGAGTAGGAAGGTTAACCACCATTCTCATTAGCTCTCACAGGGGTGTGTATGTGTGTGTGTACAAATAGAGATGGTTATTTAAGAAGGGGGAGGAGCACCGAGCCATGATCATGACTTGCATTAGAAGGCATTCATGTGTTACCTATTAACACTTAGTCTCTGGGTAACCCATTTGGGAAATTTATTAAACCAAAACTCAAACAACAGATAGAGAATTTATCACAGTGTTGTTGCATTTATCAGCCAAAAGTGTACAAAACATCCCAAAATAGGACAGGTTTTAAAAGAAATCTGCCGCCAGCGCTTAATCCGATTATCTGACTGGAAAGTACTGATGAAAGGAGGCAGAGATGAAAGATGGAGCTGTCGTTACTGACAGCTTGTCTGCTGATGGCAGGTATGGGAATGTCTGTACTGAGGGGCTTCCAGAAGTTGCTAGCAGGGAGCAAAAAAGAGAAAGTCCAGTCCAACATTAACTGCTGACGCTGATTCTAATGACTAAAACACACACAAACTCTGTCGGGCAAAACAAACAGCTAATGTCAGAAGGATGAAGCAATGGGATATAAGACCCAGCAGTACATTTGTCTCCTTAGTTTGCACACAGCAGGACTAAAAACGCTCACATATCAAGCAAGCAAACACGTCTATAAATCTCTAATAGTGTTATTGCGGCAACTATAATAGGAACACCCCCCTAACACCAAACTGGACATATGCGTTTTCCTGAGGACTGCAGTAATAATTTATTGCCTAAATTCAAAAAAGTGTCAGAAGCTTTCAAAACAGCATTTGGCTCTTATATTCCTGTGTGAAGATTTGTTGGCTGTATGAAAAACTTCAGTTTAACCTAATTAACATGCTACTCTATTGGTTAGTGTAGCCATTAGAAGACCTGATTCCCCGTGGCCGTTAAGGGTTGGACACAATTAGTACCAACAAAGAAGCAGGCTGCAGCCCTTAAATAATGCCAACCACTAAGAGGCCCCAAATCTGGCAGCAAATTTCTGCAGACCATCACCAATGCAAGCCGGAACCACTGTGACGAAGAAGGAGAGATCTATATTTTTCATGTTGATTATATGAAATGCTCATCCTATAATCTGAATGTTGCAGCTAAAATGGGGACACTTCAGTCTTTACAGTATTTGTCTGATTTTCTCGAATCTGGATTAATCGTATTCTCTGTTTTAGGTATAAACTTCCAAGGCCATAGCCCATCAACTTCAATGCTTTAGGTATTTCACATTCAAACATGGTAGACAACATGCCTTGGTTTTAACTAGTTGTTTTTTAAGTTGTGCCTGATATCCTGTTATTAAACATGTCTGCACTTTCTGGTCAAAGCTCAATGAGGCCTTTTTATCAAAATAGCTGCCGTGTTCTACTCATTTAGATTGCTTTGTTTCCCCATTCTGAAACTCAGTACAAACATCAGCAAGCTGTGCTCACCACATCTAGACTCCTTAATGTTTGTTTCCTTAATCTTCCCATCTATACATTCTTGCACTTTGTTGCACAGCCAGTGACTTCCTACTTGAAACATAGATCAGAAAGAGCCTCTCTCCCATACTACAACACTGGGCCCCATGCTCTCTTTGTATAAATCAAACCGCTTGAAATTCCCTGGAAGTCAATGGCCCTGAGAAAGAATCCCCTGAGTGGCAACGGATATCCAATCCAGAGGGTTTGGGGTGAGGCATGAGGCTCTGGGAAGCACACCCCCTTTTGCTTTTGGCTTGTCCCCAGTGTCACCAGCAGCCTTTCTGTGTGAAGCCGTTTGTCCAGGTCGGGGCTAATTGGGAATTCCCTGAGCACAGAACACTGACGATGAGAGCATGATGAAGGAAGGGGAAAGTTTTGCTCCAGACTTCCAAGCAAAACACAGCAGGGATGTGGATGTGCACCGCGGGCCATGGCAAACTGGAACAGTGACAGATTGAAGCAAAAATAAATAAAAAAGTTCATGTGTATGTTTGCAGAATGGAGAGGGGTGGAAAGAGGCTGGGCAGGGTCACAATTCATCCATCAGGAGGGAAAACAGGCAACAGAGACACTCTGTGTTTACTGCCCAGAAAAAAAAGAAGAGAGAGGAAAGGCTTTGTACATCTCCATCTGTTACTATAGCTGTTTGTGCCATGAAATAATAAAAAGGAAAAGAAAAAAAACATTAACACGGCTGACTAATTTGCGTTTAAAATTTTCTTTTTATTAATTTTTTCAGAGTATTGCAGTAGGGTAAGCATCAAATATAGCTCTTAAAAGTAATGGACAATTTATGTTTAAAACGTACAGCCTCTCACTGTGGGAAGGATTTTTTTATGACTTCAGAGCCTCACACATCGTTATTTCTGCACCCTTCGGCACACCGTTTGTCAAACAGGAAGAGCAGAAGAGCTTAATCTAAACACACACCTTTTTAACAAGCATGTGGATGGATAACTTAATGACTGAAGGGGATTTAATTGCAAACTTTTGTTTAAACTTTTAAAAATTATGAAAAAAACACCATACCAAGTCCAACTGTGCACATCCAGTTTTACATAGGGATGCCATCACTGCCCTGGAAACACCATTTGCACAATCACCTCATTTGTGCATGTTTATCACCAAATTTGCTCATATTAATCTTGCAAAATGGTAAAACTCTAGTTTATACTATTAATACCAGTACAATCAAGTACGACAATATTTTAAACACAGCCACTAAAATTAACATTGCCTTTAAAAGAGAGTCGATACATCTCATTTTACATTTTTGTGATGCATTTTTTTCTTATAACTGAGATACTGTGAGAATTTCATACCAGTCCGAACCTGATTGCAGTACTTAAGACAGAATGAACCCACGTCTTTCTGTTTATTCCCAACTCCAATTCCATCGGCAGAAACCATAATTTTAGAAAGTGACATTACTGAGCACCCAATGGATGAAAAGTGAACAGATTATAATGAGAGAGAGCACAGATGATGCAGAGACATGACATCTGGGGTAAAATTAGAGAGTTGCTGTTTCAGGGGAGACAGAGGGAGTGAACAGTTATTTCACACAACAGACAATCAGACTCCAATATTGAAGCGTGCAGAGAGGAGATGTGGACGGGCTGAAGGATGAGGAACAGGCAGGGAGGACAGCAGGGGAAGAGTGAAGTAAAAATACAGAATATTGAGTCAAATATTATTTTAAAAAGACTGCTGCCCTTTCTGCTGAAGCATTCCAGCCGCTGTAGCAGTAGCCAACATCTCAGACACTCCCATGGTCTGCGACCTGCCCCACCATGTTCACACAAACTCCCTCACCCGGCTTCATCCAACAGGAGAGTTGACTGAATCAAAGGGTAAATAATTCACAGCTGCGAGGCACTTCAAACACAGAGGCCCCTTACTCCCACCGAACCCCCCTACCCTGTCCCTCACATGATCATCAATCATTCTCACTGTATCAACGCCACACTTTTTATTTATGAAACACCCCGTAAGTCAGAGTCCCACACAACCGCAGGGGCACCGCTACTGCTACCCCCCAACGCCCCACCATGACCCACCATCGGCTGAGGTAACCATGTGTAAGTGTGTTTGCGAGCAGGGGTCAGGGACCCGGAGGCTGGCGCTGAGAGATATGTGGGACCCCCACACTCAGCGCTGGGGCCATTTCCGCCTGGCCTCAATTGTCCTCCACTTTGATCCAATCGCCATCAACACTTCATTACTCTGCGGTCTGTCTTCCTCTTGCTGCAGCTTCACACAAAGAGCCTCATCTGGGTTTGCAATGCATTAAGGATTTACTCTCTCTCATCCACACTCCTGTTCTATAAAGATGAGTCCTGAAAAACCCTCTCTGAAAAATACTTGGGTGAAAGTCAATTACAGGTTTCCAGCTATTAAAAGATATTAGATTGAACTAAATTGTTACAGCAATATACCACTTAGATGAGATTAAGAAACATCATGGGGTTAATTTAAGAGGTTGACTCTCATGTTTTCCTTGTATTTTTTCAAGTTGGCCTCAAAACATTTATGTATGTAAGTTTATATACATTTGTCTTTCAATCTGATTACTGTTTTCTAATCATTTTTCTCTCAGAGAGCCACTTTATTTGATTCGGGAGTGTGCATTGCACTTGTTTCTCTATGGGGCTTTTATGGAGATACTGTAAGTAATAAATCTCAATACATTAAGATAATAGAACTGCTTTTGTTCCAAAAAGAGACAAACCAGTTGTTTTAATTATTATGGTTAGAGTAATGTTACCATGACAGCCTCTTAATTGTCTGAATTTTATTTTTAGTAAGTAAGGGGATGCCTTATCAGGCAAGCTGACTGGCAGTGCACAGTAACAGGTGAGGGAGAGGAAGTTCTGTGTTACTCTGTGCCAAAAAAAGCTGTAGAAAACTTAAGTCAGTTTTCTACTTTCATTGTCTTCTAAATAAACAGACTCTCAATTTCAAGATAAAGAAACTGAGGAAGCTATGCCAATTCAAAGAAGCCTTAAACAAAGTGCAGAAAGGATTATTTTCCCGCAAGTCATTCACCATTGGACTTTTATGATAGATGGGATGGAAACAGTCATTTCCACTTTCATTTCTGACAGTTAGGCATTGGTCGGTTACCATTATAAAGGATTAGCATGGTTTGAAAAAGGCTAAGAGTTTCAAAACTATTAACATTTTTGCTATGAACTGTGAATCATAATCACAATATTGTATTTTCTGCTCAAAAGCATGCAGGTTGCCAATTCCTGCTGGTTTATATTTTGTCTCTGATGGAAAGGCATGTACAAGACCTTTGGTCTAGTACTTTAAACCATACAAGTCTGAGATGGAAATTAAAAAAAAAAGTTGAAAAAGAATGAGAGTGGAGCAAAGAGGACATACTAAAGAAAAAAAGAAGGGGACATTGCAATTGAGTGTTCCTCTGGTTAGATCTTTGTAAATTAACTGCTAAACTAATGAACAAGAAATGCTTCAATAGAAGTCCTGAGCAGACCTCTACTGCTTCTCTCGAATCCCCAGCCTAAAAATTATGGATTAAATATGAGGAGAGGTACAGATTTAGATGAATCTAGAGTAGTTTGAGGTGGGAAGAGAACAGTAGAAGTCCTTTGTACTGATCCTTGGATTACAGAAGAAAAACAATCCAGACCTCTGGAAGACAGATCATTTTTAGCTTTCTACTTACTAAAGTGAGAGGAACAATCTGAACTACTGTTCAAACTCTAATTTTGGAACGAGATAATGCTCCTTACAGACAATGTGGGGAATGTCTCTTGTCCAGAGAAAGCCCTGAGGGATGCCCTCTTTTCAGATGCAACGCCTCTCACCCTCACAGCAACCTTCAGAAAATCTGTCTGTCTGTACGCCTATTCTATCGCCGGTGTCATGAGGGGGACACAAACAAAGCTGCATACAGCATTTTGGGAATAGCTGAAACAAGCATCTTGCAATGTGGTTGTGCCTTTCAATCCCTCTGATCACAGACAGAGATTCTATTGAGGATGGCAGTCAAAGTTTGGTTGAGCTGCTTCCATGCAGACAGATGAAGCATCCCCACAACATCACACCCCGACCATCATGTCTTAAAATGGGGGTGGCATATTTCAGATAACTTGTCAATCCAATTAAGCTATAATTAGCTTTTTGAATTTGGGCTAAAAGGGGATTTTTTTTTTTTTTTTTTTGATAGCAGAAAAGAGCCCCCATCTTCCACAATTTGGCTGTTTCTTTTAATAGATTTTAACTCCAACCTTTTCCTGGCTTTATTTAATTAAGGCCAGATTTGTAGACTGTGTTTCCATTAGACAAATTCTTCCACCAGAGCTACGGATCTCTGCAGTTTATTTAGAATAACAATTAGGACTATTTGCTGCTTCTCTGATATCATGTCTTAATAATATTCATCCTCCTGTTCAAAGCATAAGGGACTGATTCATAACCTTACATTGTTATTTGCTAAAGCTGTTGAAACTCATGCATCCTCAGTGCACCTTTGTGTCAGCCCATTCCACAAAATCCCAGTAAAATTGCATGAATAAAAACTCCATAGCCAAGATTGGTATTTGTTTTATGACTCTGCTAGTCTATCAGGCGGAAATCTTTAAAGCCTTGCATGAAAGGCAAAAGAAAAACAGCTCTGGCAGTGCCAGTGCCTGGGCAAGATCAAGCTGCTGCAGCAATAATTAAGTGCAGATATAGACAAACACAGCCAGAGTATTCTTGGCTATGCTGTTTATACCTTGGTTGTCTCTAGCTTCCACGGGGGCAAACCACATAGTCCCCATACCTCCAAACAGAGCAGATCACCAACTAAATAGCTCTACTGTAAATATAACCAGAAATTCATCTCATCTCCTGCCACCATGTCTTCTCTGATCCTGAACAGAGGGACATGCTTTCAAGCAAGCCATGCCTCTCATTCTTACTGTCATTTCGTCTCCAGTGGGCACATTGCTTCCAGAGAAGACAAAAGGATAAACAAAACTAAGATGAAGAAGCAGTCCTGCAGAATGTGACGCTTGGACAATCTCAGGCATTGTTTTTTATGCATTGATCTTGGCAGGAGCTTCCCTCTCTGGGTAATTCCTTCAACAAATATCCCAGCCAACAGCCTTATTTGCACCATCCCTTATGCCAAGCAAAGGATCATAGGATGGGGGTTGAACAGGATAGGGTGTAAGGGTAGGTCAGATGGCCAATATGTGGGAAATAGTAAAATTAGGGTGATTGACATGGGAGTTCAGGGTTCATCCACATTTCTCATGCCAACATTCCAGACGTCTTACTCCTTTTTCTTCAACTTTTATAGTAGATATATAAAACTTTACAAGGCTTTAATGGCAGAGTTCCACACAATGTTCAGGCTTTAGACATAGGACCTCAAAATACAGCAGACTGCAAGTAAAACCATTGGTCAACACAGTCGGTCCTTAAGCACAGGACTCTTACATATCTTAGATCTTTGATTTAGTGAATAGGCCATTAGTAGTGTCCTGTTTGGTGGCATGCTGATTAACTTATGTAGTCAACTAACTGAGCTGTAAAAAGCAAGGACACGTCTAAGCCATGCAGGGTGTTGGCGCTTAAAGACTACAGTTGGATACAAATGAGTAAAACAATCAATGGATAAATGTATGGATATATTTGGTATGCTTACACTTCCTGTCTTACCTTAACTGTGCGGTGGTGCTTGCGGGACGGGTGACAGCGCATGTTGCTGGTGTTGCAGCAGCCTGTGCAGCGCTTCACCTCCACACAGGGTGGCCATATCAGGAAGTTGGCAGACGTGGAATCCACCTGGCTGCGGGGGATCTCGTAGATCACCGTCCTTGTCTTGCACGCCGCAGGGACGGCTTCTTCAACTGGAAGTGAGACAGGGTCAGCTTAATGCTTTTATGCTTTTTTCATACTTGTTACATCTGGTGACGCATTTCCTAAAAAAAAAGTGCTTCTGTTTTGACGGAATCAGATCTTCAAACACAGCTGCTTGGATTCTTCATGACTCACTTGATGTGAGAGCAGTTTGTCTTGCCTCAAATCATAACTAACATCTTTTATGAGTGTTAAGAACACAAGCTTTCTTTAAAACTGATCTCATATCAGCTAAATGTCTAAGGTGCATGTGGGACTTAAGAAGACAGCTGCATTGTTAAGGACCCTCAGTACAGTTAACGTAGCATGACGAGCAAAGGCAACCTTTATTTACACAGGTGGGATATTTATTAACCACGTGTATTGGATTTAACAGCATTATAACAAATTAATTCTGGTGGGTTTTATAAATAAGTCATATTTTCTACATGCAGTAAGATATTTCTATGGTAAATTCTAACATTTTTTATTCACTTAAAATTTTGCTTTAACATTTTGATAAGAATTAACTTAACTATCGGTTAGATCAAACAATTAGCTTTGCCTATTTATCAATTATACTGTCCAACAGACAACAGTAAGGTGGATTTATTGGTTGTTTATAAGGGCTGGCAGAATGCTAACTGTGACGAGTTTCTCTGTTAGACTGAGAAGACTGTATTCTGCTCTAGCCAATTTATCAACAACATTAATGTTAATCTCAAATTTGCTAGTAGGCTTGTGTTCTTAACCCTAGTCTGTTAACTAACAGTAAACCTAAGCTGTAGTTCTCAGGAGAAAGGCTTAAGGTTTAGATCATCTTTTTATTCATTATTCACAGATGTTTATTTCTCAGTCACGGGTTTATTCTTTTTGTTTTAACATGTGGAAAAAGCTCAATTATCTTAATAATTGGGTTTAGAGTTTGGCCCTATACTTAAATGAGTACATTTTTAAAGACTGGTTTGAATTTAACACATTTCTGTTTCTAACTTTAAAAGATACTCATTAGTTTCAGAAAAGCATACACAATTTCTTTCTAAAAATATTGGCTAAATATGTTGAAATTAAATGTTTACAAAATGTCACACCAATTTTGTTTTATAGTTGTTTTATCAGTGAGTTAAGAGGCATAAAACTGTTTGCAGTAAAATAATCATCTTGTAAAGGGGAAATGCCAATCGTGCATTGAATGTAAGGGCTTCTGTTGAGCACTCCCAAAATGCTATATCTTATGGTGCAGCACAAATAAATGAAACATGACCAGCAGCTTCAATCACTTCAGTTTCTGCACTACTGTGAGAGCATGCACTCTACACTCTGCATGGTATTCTCCACGCCTCGATCAGATATCGTACCGCGTGGCGTTTTATGAAGAAATCTGACTGGGAGCAGAAGCAAGCTGCAACTTGAACCCTGAATGTCTGGAATTTCCACGCTCGAGGATATATCTCTGCCTGACGTGTGTGTCTTTAGATCTTAGAGCCTCAGGCCAATTAGAAGGCTTGGTGTCAGACGTCCTCCTCAACCCTGCGCACTAGCCTCCCTTTCTCATGATTCCTTGATTGCAAATAAATACTGGGTAGATGTCTTCATTAGGGTGCCTTTTATCTCTCTTTAAAAGCAGTATAAAAACCACTAACTGTTAGCTTTGTTGGAAATGAGTGTAAAGTGAAGTGTTTCATCTCCTGGGAACCAAAGTGAAATTTTAGATTATTTTCTTGCCCTGCTCACACTGCGTGTACCAGTTTCTCATGCGTGACACAATAATGCCTCCTCTGGGCTCTGAAGGTCTTACCAAGACTCCTCTTGCGTCGGCTGTGTAGCTGCGAGCTCTTCAGTCCATTGTAGTAACCATGATGATTGGAGGAGTTCTTATGATGATTGTGGTGCTTGTGATGCTTGTGCTCCTCGATAACATCGTTTCCCGTACCTCGTCAGAACAGAGGGACACCATGTTAATAATGTCCCAAAGACATTTAATAAAAGAACAAACTAAAAGCATGCAAGCCATGTTGAATAACTTGGTGGACTTAGATTTAAACTGCAATTCTGCTCAATTTTATTCAGGTCAGTTTATAAAGCAAACATTTCCAATACGAAAACCGATATTGCAGCCCTGATTATTGACTGGTACCAATATTGACTCAACAATTTATCAGCATGTGTCAAACAAACCTTTATTACTTATTTTGTTGTATGTGGAATTTTAAAAAAACAAGCCTGATTAAGTGATATTACTCAAGCTGAGAACAAAAGTCAACAACAATAGGTATGAGAACAGCTGACCCGTGTATTATTAACCAATGAGATACAAAAACTTGAAAGAAAAATCTGGCTGTTATCAGACCAATTTTCCAGAATCAATATCAGATCAGGAAACGCCTACTAAAGACAAAGAGGTTCAATCTGTATGCTACTATAGATAATCAAGCTTGTTTTTGTTTCACCTCAAATAATCCAGCTTATTCTAGTACAGCCGGGTTATATAGTAACACTGAGATCCAATCGCACAATGCAGTTTGATCCTTTAATAACAGCACAGTCAAGGAGCTTTTAACAGATTAGTAAAGGGCGACTGCTCGCACAATTAGCTTGCAACCTTGTGAAAACTGCTGATGTTTCTTTATACATTAATAAGTTGAATGTTTTTTAGGGTGAAATAGGAATTTTCAGCTACAACGATAACAACAAAGCATTGGTTGGTCACACACCCATAATGACATGAAGTATCAATTATAGGGTTTACACTTCCCTTCAATGTGCAAGCATGGCAACTCCTATAAGGTTACAAACAGTTCAGAGTACATTGGCTGCAGGTAGGAGGTACGGCTCTACACAGCGCTCTGGTTAATTGCTGGGATTACGTGTCAGCCTCCCTCAGTGACTGGGCTAAATTTACTTTAGCAGTAGCAAGACGAAGGTGAGTCAGCATGAACTTTAACAAACAACCAGCTTTCACAGACACGCAGAGGCTTAAAGTGGTCATTTGACAGGTAGGGCCCGGTCACCTTTATTTCAGGCCAAATTAGTGGTTCTGTGTCCCTCATTTACTGAAAATGTTTGCTTTTCAATCACTCTGTGGTTTTTCGTTAAAGTACGTGTTTTGCTAACACAGCCTGTTCATTTTTATTCATATTCACCGTCATCTGATAAGACTTGCTTGTTTTGGTCTCCGCCCAGACTTTCAAGGTGGATTAAGCAAAAGTGCCAGACCAGCAATAAAATGATAAAGCTTCTCCGTAGGATCCTGAGAATGTCTGACTATGTTTGCAAACTGGGTGGGTCTGCCACTTTCTGGTTATAGCATACCTGTCGAGAACAATTCTGCACACGTACACTAAACAAAAAGACACGCTAACAATTGGAGAAACTCTTCTCGTTATCCTAAACAACATAGAAAAGCCTTAAGCACACATGTATCAACAGAGCTTAACCATAGGCAAACACAGTCATCTCATCCAGCTTTTTTTGTGCATTTGACCAGAGTCATTAGAAGGGATTTCCTCAAACCATACGCCTTCCACCACTAGGATCGGTTGTTTATTTGACTTCTGATTTCTTTTTCCAGGTCTGTCTGTCACAAAGAGTTCAGCGAATTTCTTTCCAGCTTGTCAGAGACTCAGTCAACCAGTTTGTGACCCAGAACCAAAGGTTCACTGAAGGGAAGCGTTGCCTACAGCAGAAATCTGGGAGTCAAACAGAGGGCTGAGCTATCATTCTTTCGGACCATTACACATGCACATACTGTACATAACATCCCAATCTACAAATCTTTTAAACTCTTACTGTCAGGTTAAAGTAAAATCCCGGAGAAAAATAAAACATATACGGAAAGTTTTATGCAAGGGAAATTTGTCTAGGATTTGACAAAGAGACCTCTTAAGAAATGGGAAAGAGCATGAGGTGGAAAGACTACAGATGAGGAGTGAGGGGGCTTGCTCCTCTCTTGGTTCCAGGTGACTAATAGGTATGCACACACCCAGAGCCTCTAGACAAGAGAACAGAGGACAGGAGACAGTCTCTTACCATGAATCAGTCTTTCAAGACCGGCAAATTAGCTAAGAGCCTTCACTCCCTCATCTTATTCTTTCCCTTCTCCCTTTCTTTTCATCTCCTTGAGCAAATCACCAGCTTGGTGGCTTCTTAAGAGTAAGTGACTCTCTCTTCTTCTGTTATATTTCCTTGTGTATTTCTTTTTCTAACAGTTATATGGCTGAATTGACAAAATGCTGGCTAAGGTCTTATAGGCGGAAGGGAATTTCTATGGTTTTGTGTAATAGCAGGTGGGAAACAAGTTATCTTACTTAGTCTCAGAGTTATCTCTGCTAGCTGTGCAGGAGACAGAAGACAAAGCAGATTGCACAACAACCTGCGGTCTATGTGATTGAAGCTGGTGTCTCAAGATGCCTCCAACTCCCTCCTCCACCTCTGCCCCTTGCCGAGAGTCAGGTTCCCTTTTCTATCAAAGTTCCTCTCTCATAGAGATAAGAGCAGGCAGGCGAGGGGCCACCTCAAGAGAGAGACAGAAGGAGGAGTATAACGAGGAGCGCAGCACCTTAGGGGCCAGACCGCTATCTGCAGACTTCAACAGGGTCATCTCATCTGACAGTCAGAGCTCAAGACTGGGAATTTGCAAAAACAAATGCAAGCCTGCACTGAGCACAGGAGTACAGTAAACCATCTCTGGGCGTCCTATTGATACTGCCACTTTGAAACCTCTGCCTTTCCAGGGACAGAAGATACAGATACTGACAATCAAATGCTACACATAATTATAAACAAGATCACCTGCTTGTTAAAATCGCCCCCTCCTAACTTTGTTTACATTGATTGCCTCTCTGTGCTGGGATTCTGCAAAAAAAGGTCCAAAAATACCCTCCTGGCGTCTAGAGTCTTTTAATGGCCTGGCCAGGGCTGACCAGCTGACCCTCAAGACAGATTTATGCCCTTGTATAAAAATCATTAGCCTACTACTATTACTCTGCAAAGTATTTATCTGAATGAAGAACGACATTAAGAATAAACACATTTTTACACCCACAGGGCATCATAGCAATCTATACTGGGCTCAGAGTAAAGTGGCGTAATGGCTGTTGTGGAAAAGAATTGATTGCTTTCAAGTCTGAGATTCTTCCATTTATAAAAGCTCTAAAGAGTTGTAAAAAGCATCGAACTTGTCCAAACTTGGCTAGGTGGCAGCTCCAAACAGTGTATTTCATTAGAATGCAATGGGTATAAACGCAGCTGTTGTTTTAAATCCTCAGAGGTGTGTTGGAAGAACATGAGTTAACAAATAGCATTGTAAGAACCAAGAGAGCATAAAACTCAGGGAGGAAATTGTGGAGTAAATCAGGAAGTTGTATTGAATTGGGGGTGAAAAAAAATCTCAGTTTTGAATATTTAATGAATGACTGTCCTGTTTATCATGTCAATTAAAAGAACATATGGCATAAATGCAACTGAAAACTTAAGCAGCAAGACACCACACAATAATGAGTCATGGTGGTGGCAGCATAATGCTGTAGGGGAATGGTGAGAATCGATGAAAATGCTGAACAAGCTGAACAACAACCTTAGATGTAAAGCAAGATTTGCAAAAAATAATTTCATTCTAAGCAAAAAAAAAAAAAAAAGATACAAAATCCACAGCTGATTTTTAAATAAATGCTCTGCATGCAACTTAATTGAGCTTAAACTATTAATCTGAGTAATTTTGGCATTTTTAAGTGCAAATAATTTGCAGACATAACCTAGCAATATGTACTATCTCCAAGTCTCAAATACAAAGTGCTAAACTAAAATGTCAGCTAAGGTCCTTGTTTTCATGAATATAAAATTTAGGAAAAAAATCAGCAGAAATCTGCAAAGTTGGAGCCCTGAACTTGATATATGACAGCAGCCTGTGTAAATAGTGGCTCATGTGAAGGCAAACAAATTCTTCCGCAGCACAAATGTAATTTAATCAGTAAGACAGTCTGGGTCACAGAGAGAGAAGAAACCAGCTTAACATGCAACCTGCTGCAACTATCCACTGGATTTATGGCACTAAAACATGTGGCCGTCTGGATGCATGTTCATTAGTCACCCTTCATCACACATATGCAGTATATGCAACTTTCTTGCACCATTCTTTCCTGCATTTGCATTTAGGTTGATCATGAATGCATGGCATAAAAACTTTACTTCACATGTTTATATATGATGAATGCTAATGGAATGGGACTATTATAGAAAAGTGGAGCTTAGAAAAGTATCAAGAGGCAGAATTTACCTACGGAGTCAATCTCCAGTAGCCGCTGGAGGTCGCTGATGCTGTGGATTTCACTGTTGGAGAGCCGATCGATCAGCTCCTGGGGAAACTCTGCTTCCTTCTGGAGCAGGAGGAGGGTGACAAAGAATCAAAGAAAGGAAGGTTAGACACACATCGGGTCCTTGCTTGAAACTCTCAGCTGATTGTAAATAGTTTGGATGCTTGTTTCATTAGATAAATATAGGTTTAAAAGTTGAAGGAATGTCCAATGTTCCAGCAAGGTGTCGGGGAGGCCTGTTATAATTTAGTAGAGTAATCAGCAGCTTTAGATCTCTGACAAATTAGACAAATACACTCTTTGCTTCTGGAAAATCAGACGGAAAGCTGGCGGAGCAGCACCTCGCACCCTTTGCACTTGTCGCGCTTCATCCAGGCACCTCGGACTGAGCCAGACGTGCGCAACCCTCACAGGAACAGTGACTATTTTTATCATCCAGGACGGTTCCCATGGACGCGCTTGGCCAAACCAAAACCTTTGCCAAATTTGCCCTCAGACTACAAACAGATTTGGAAGAAAAATAAAGACCAAAAAATAACAGCGTTGCGCGTCAAAGCGCACAAAAGCAGGACTGGCACTGATGACTCAAACACTGTACTCAAACTGCTTTCAATTTAACTTTTGAATGTACTTATTTTTATCTTTTATGAGACTTTTGTAAAACTTTCAGATAGTTACATCAAAATCTTTTTCCTTTTTTCATCTTGAAATTACCTTTCAGTGTTTTGTGTCTGAGTGCGTGTGTGGCACTCGAAGAAAGGACCTTTGCACTCTAAATGTGATAAATCTGGAAACAAAACCAGTCACTTTACCTCAGCAGTGGCCAATAGGTACGTCGTCCACAGCAGGAAGCAACAAATTGTGGCTCTCATCTCCTTTTAATTGGAAAGTCTTCCTCAAGCACGAAAAAAGAGCTGTCGCTTAGGAGCCCCCGAGTCGCTCCTGGCTCCAGAGGATCCACAACCATCCCCTCAGGGAGGGAAGCGGTGTAGAGTCACAGCAGCTCGCCCAGACGCCTCGTTTTCACTTGCTTGAAACCTTTAGGCTGAGATGTCTTCTTATTATTCACATTCGGCTGCGTCCTCTTCAACAAACCCTGCGCTCCAGCACAGAATAAACCTTCCTTTACGCGCACGGGAGGCAAATCCAATAAACAAGTCTGGCGCGCATTGCACTTGTCCTTCACCTTTGCAAAAAAAAAAAAAAAAAAAAGATTCACACTTTGACCCAACGCAATGGAAAGTCAAACATATTAGAACAGCTCCTGTTCTCTAGGGGACCATTTAAAGCGCGTTGGATTTTCTCTGATTTGAAAGTTTTGCGTCAAAATAATCCAAAAGATGCCCCCCCAGGAAATCACAATGGAGTAAGTAAGTAAGGCGTCCGTGTGGAGCTGTTGAGAGCGTGTTTGAGCGCAGGTCTTTGGACGTGGAGGACTCTGGAGTGAATGGTGTCAGAGCGCCTCTGAGCAGCTGAATATAGAGAGCCAGCAGCTCTGTGCCCATTGCGCCTCCCCTCGCGTTTGGCCGATCATGCATCTATTCAGCAAGGGGAGCTGGTTGGCTGGCTGCTGACTTAAGACTCCAAGATCCGTCCCCATCCCACCCCTCCTTACCCCCCTCACCCTGGGTGAGAGTGTGTATGTGTGTGTGTCCTCAGAAAAACACCGCCCATTCACAGATATGATGCATAATCGGTTTGGTTTACAGGAGGGCGCAAAAGAAACGGATCCATTTCTTAAGGAGATTACCTTGATCTCCTCCCTTATAATTAGGCAGATCGATAGCTGCATATCATTCAATTTACTGGTCTGTAATCTTCTTTAATTATAGCCAGAGTTCTCTGGATTTTTTGCATCCTCCTCTGTTTATTCCTCACTTCTTAAAAAAAAATTTTTTCACAATATGTCGCATCATGGGCTAGATTTGCATAGGGACCATAGGAACATGTCCCTACCAACAATTAGATGTGAATAACATGTTTATAATTTACAATACAGCTTTGTTGCAGCAGTAGAGGGGATGGAGAATATTGACAGACAAAAAAATGTTTGTTTATATATATTTTTTACAATGGTATTGGTATAATTCCTGCTTTAAGTGGATCGCTCTGTGAGCTAAAGACATGTTTTAGAGTCTATACCAGTTTATGATTAATCGATTACTAAATTTGTTGACATTTCAATAATCGATTATTCCGATTAATTGTTTCAGCCCAAGATAAAATACATGATATGGGTTAAATAGAGTAACTATACAATTTATTTGGTGTCCTTCGAATCTATTATTTTGCTTTATTTCATGATACAGAGAGAATATTTTAAAGATAATTGTGGGTGTTACCTTTGCACAATTGTATATCATGAAAAAAAACAGGATAAATCCACAGATAAGAGACATGTTTAGACTATATTTTGATAAAAAGGCACAGATTTACTTTCTGTCTTAGTCGCTGGTAATTTCAAATGCAAACCTTTTTAAAGTGGAAAAAAAGTCATAATTCCTTATTCATCAGAGCCGATGATGCTTCAAACATTGATAGACAGCATCTAGTGTGTGTAGCGCTTATAACATTTTTACAAATGTGCCAAGAAATGCTGCTTTTCTCTTTAAACAAAATACAATCTGATTTTCACGTCAAGCATAAAAAAACAGAGCATGCATAATTTTGCATAGGACCAATTACATCAGACTAATAGTGTCCCTACCAAAGTTGAAATCAAACCTATGCCCTTGTGTCGCATTAACACCACAGATTTTTTGGTAAAGCATATTTGTGAAGGAAAAGAAAGGGACACACATTGAAAAATAGAATCTTTTTAAATGTAAACCTGAAAATCCATCCCTGCATCATGATGCTGCCACCGTTTCTACTGTGGGCATATTTATGGCGAGGTCTGTTTCCCTATCATTCAGAAAAATCCATTGTATCATATGGGTTCAATTAAGATGCTCAGTATTTAGTGTAGGATGAGTAAATAAAACACTACTACTACAGGTTCTGTGTTGGTTTTGCAGCAGATGCTAACCATTTGCTGGAAGTTCAATGTTATCTTTCTCCTGATGCAACTATAATGTGGCTGAATAGGAAAGATTTCCAAGTGTGTGTTTAGTTTCATAAGATGCTGTAAATTATTCATGACTTTTGGACACATGCAGCCACTTTCCTAACATGGAGTTTTAAAAACAACTGGTCCTAACTTGTCATGGGGCAATTCATTCTGTGCTGGGAGGTCCGGGAAAGAAGCCAGAGGGTCGTCACGGAGGAGATAGACATGCAGTAGCAGAAACACAGACAGACAGACAGACAACGTCAGACTCATTATCAGCCAGAGGTGCCAGCGCGATCAGCAGGGAGCCACAGGTCAGCAGACCAGGTGGTCTGGCCTACACCTTGCTCCTTCTAAGCTGGAGGGCGTTGTGTCTGGAAAGCCTGCAAAGAGAATCACCTCAGCAGATGCTACGGTAATTAACCAACACTTTTAGAATTCTGGCTAAGCTTGCTTGGTCTCATAAAAAGAATCAAATATTTTTCCGGTGAAATTTCCTTGGCTGAAATAATTTATAACACTTTACTGCAACTGAGCCCTCCTCCCTGATGTACACCTCTCCTTATTAGTTCTTTATCTCTTCCTGAATGGTATGATAAGCATGCATGAAGTATGTAATTGCTATAGTAATAGGCAGCTTCATGATGTTATGCAAATTTTCCACTAAAGGTTTTACTCTTTAACTTGAGATCCATAGATGTGTTTCAGCTATAAGATGGAGAAAATGATACAGGGACATAAACAAACCTAAGCAAAAGAGAGGAAAAATATGTCTAAAAAGTAAAGAAAAGGATTATCTTTTGCCCTCTTTTGCTTTCTTTTGCATGAGCTAATAAGCAACATGTTTACTGGCAACTGAGGCCTGTGTACCTAACAACATTAACCCCATTAAATGACTTTATAGATGCTGTTGCACAGTAAATCGAGCCATAAAGACTCTGCAGAGAAGACGTCGGGAGTGAGGTGATGACTCCTGTTTTGCCCCCGAGCAGCACATAGTTCCCAGTGATCGTAGAGAACGGTAAACAGGGGAACATTTTTGAAGAATGCGTTAGATATGAGTTACATAGCCTCTGGAGAGCTGATGTGAGCCTTTTAGTCTGGATGACCTGTCAGTTTGAATCATCTATTTCCATTCTTGGAGGAGGACTTACTTTATTTCTTGTCACTTTAAAATGTAGTTTTTATTATTAAACAATTGTTTAAGAGCTTTTTTTTTTTTTTTGGTCATTTGTGCTCTTAAACTCTTCTGTAAGTTTTATATTGAGAAAAAATTAAGAACGATTGAGAATAGTGAAAGATAACATCTTTCATTTCCCAGCTCTAACTTCATGCATTGAAAACTTTCTGAAATCCTTATTTAGTATGTTGCAAATTAATAAACTGACCTCTACAGTTAAAGGGTGAGCAATGATCAATGAAAAATGACCCCGACTGCCCGAGTTTTTCCCTCTTTGCCACAAGCCAAGCTGAACTTAAACATCGAGACTGAAAAAGCATGGCTTTTCTATCTATAATACTGTAAATACAAACTGGAAGATGCTGGAAACCCCTTTGTTTCTGTACTAAATTAAGTTGTTTTACATCTTTAAGCACAGAAACGGTGCTGACTATGGAAGAATTGACCAAAATTCCCACCTTTAGGTGTGTCTGTGATTTACCACTACACATGGAAAAATGAAAAGCCTTATGAAGCAAATTTTTCGCTGCAATAAAAAAAAAACTGAGCTATTTGACCAAAGAACAGTAGGTATCATTTTGAGGAGGCTTTCAAACCAAACAATTCTATTCCAACTGTCAAGAGTGCTTCAAGTGGTCATTATTGATATTGCACAAATAATAAAGAAATAGAACTTTATTGATCTCATAATGGAGAAATTAACTCTGGGGAGCAGGGAAATGCCACTGTGCAGTGCCTGGGGGAGAAGGATGAGGTTAAGGGTCTTGCTCAGAGAGCCAGAGTGCCAACTGTGGGTATTCAACCGGGTACTTGCAACCTTCTAAGCGTATAAGCATACTGCTCTAACCACTTGGCAGTCCCCCATATACTGTCTTTACTCACCTGTTAGATGCATAGATGCAATTATGGATTCCAAAAGGACAATGATCATTGTGATGAATTTTATTGCTATTAGAAGTGTGGCAGATTGTAGCATTGTTGCCTTGCAGCAAGAAGGCCCAGGTAAATTCCCAAACGGGGGTCTTTCTTCACATAACAAAAAACCATAATGGTTGAAACAGTTCTGTGTATGGTGGGAACCCTTTAACCAACTACAACAGTTCATTGTCCAGCTCTGGCAGCTTTGAGAGCAAAAACATAACTATTCGTAACTCAACCTTTGCTTGAACTCTGATCATGCAATGAAAGCAAGAAATCTCACACTTTAAAGTGCCAAAGAGCTATATAAAGATAGTAGGGTTGACAATAGAAACTCTGTGACCCGATAGCCGCGTGTTCCTAAATGATTTTATAGCCCTAACTGTGACATTTTCCTTCCACTCAAAGATTATAAATGTTTTCCACAGGGCATCCCCAGTCTATGACACTTAGTGATGACACAAGGCAAGTAGATTTCAGACTGGATTGCCTTGCAACAGAGAAACAAACACCGATTTTAACCTGGTGTCCCCCCCTCCACCTCCAGCACCACCCATTCGTATCATGAGCACTTATGAGTCATGGACTCACGGAGTCAGGCCCTTTGTAGACTACTGAGTGATTCCTTCCCTCCTCCCCGGGGCAGCCCTCACCAGTTTATCACTGTCCATGATGACAAGGTTGATGTCATTAGTGGTTTGATGTTTTGTAGTTTGGAACCATTTTACAAGAGCTGCTGTAATGTACAAATTAGGAGTGGTGGTAACGTTTATGGTTAGGTTACTCATGTGCACGTTCAAAAGCACACGAACACAAACTTTAGGTGAGATTTCCCAGGAGCAAAGGTGCATTATAGATTGGACTTGGAAATTATCCAGAGCAGAGTGCATATCCAGGGCAACCTCCATTCTCATAAGCAAACACACAGTGTATTTACACCATGAAGGCTCTAACACGCACTCTCATTTCAATTATTAAGTATTGGCGACAGTAAAGGTGCAGAAGTCACATGTGCAGTTGGTTCTGGATGAAGTTCTTCTTTTATAGGGACAATTACTAGCAGCCATTTAAAGGACTTCAAATATCTAACATGCGCAGCAGCCTGAATGCAATGCACTGTGGGGCCTCACAGTAACCCTTCAGAACCGTTTCCCTTCAGGTGCAGCTGTTCTGGGGTACCGTATCCAACCCCTCTTTTATAAGTCACATTGGAGTCAGGAATTCTACCTCTCAGTATAAAGAATATGATGCCACATGCACAAATTAATGTACAAAGATGTTGCTACAAGGTATGCAAGGCAGCTTTCCAGATGGGACCCATTATACATTACAGCAGCACACTGAAGTTATTCGGGGATGGCAGCATCTTCTCTTTGCG